ATATAAGAATAGGATCGATTACGCGAGGCTTATAAAATATTTTTCAACATGATATTACTTAATTTGTCGAGCGTTTTAACAATATTTATCAAGCAGTATATTTTATAATATACGTTGGCTATTTCATACTGCACACAACGATCTATAAGGTGTTTACATAATTCAAGTGAATATATTATTATTAAATATTTTTGGAAATAACTATTTTATGCTTTATTTGATCGATTTTCAACTTGCTTTGACAAAGTTAATTTTAGTTCAATTTGTTAATTAAAAGCAAATCAAATATTTGAAATTGATATACCAAGTACAACCATCACGTGATAACCGTGAACATGAGTTTCGATGGAACTCYGATATATCCCCAAAAGCAGACGAACCTGGAAAAATCTTACCTTTATGTTGTTCACAAAGCAAGGATTTTCAACCTGTGGTTCACGGCTCCCTGGGGTGCAGTCACCGATTATTATCAAGAAAACCGCATCATCAGTAGAAAAAAAAATGTATATTATTATTATCATGATTTGTATGAGAGAAATTTAAATTGGTTTCAAAATCAATAGAGCCGTGCATCTAAATAGTTGAAAACCCTTGCTCTATATAAGTTTATCAACAAKTAATGGACTAATAAACATTTKTGCCACACTGACTTTCTAGTTGACGGATYTGTATTCTTAATTTATAAGTATTTTGTTTTGATATCCAATCATCACCAAACCAATAGAATTAGTGGAATTTTACGAGTTAAATAGATTGTAAACAGAGTCATCGACCAAAGAAYTTAAACACATCACTTGTTAATTTTGTAGTAGTAAAACTTGGGYGGGACTATTTACCTAAGAATATTAAAGCACTTTTTGATCACATTTTTATAATATACAGTTTGGTAAACACTTWATTATTTATTTGTGAATATTAGTTTTATAAAGTCATTTAGCATTATCAAGAGAGTACTACGAGGTGGCTTTTATTACTCTCCAAAGTGAATTGTGTAGATACTGTGCTACTTAAAAATTAACGGTAACCTTTTCTGTTAACAACGAAAAACCAAGTTTATGTGACTATTAGTGCCAGTATAGCAATCTATATTGTTATGTTTTGTTTTTGTTCGTAATTTCTAATAGCCTTATCATGCATCGCTGCAGCGCGGTCAGCGGCATCAGCTGTCACGTACTAACTGCCCAATGTGTGTAGGACCAGCACGTTATATTCTGTGTAAAATTATTTTATTATTCATGTTCTTCTACAGGCGACACTGTAACTATGTTTTCAAGCGCATTGCTCAACTGCCATTCAAGTCCGTGTTCGGTTTTCTGTGCGTTTTTAGCGTCTCGCCGAACAACTTCTAGTTCCTTTGTACATGTCGCTTTTGTTTATTGTTCGGCGATTGTTACAAAACCACGTTTCTCATCTAAGTACTTTCTAGTAAGTATCGTTCTTCGCAATTCTTATTGCCCTGTATTAATAGTTTTTCCCCTAGTTCTAGAGTATTGTCATATGTCGTCAGTTCCACTCCTCAGCACGTGGTTGTGTTGCCTTGTTTGAGTCGTTTGTTTGCATATGCAGCGTCAGACATCTTGTATACAGTTTTTCTTCGTCGTGAATACTTAGTGGTCGTACGTGTGCRGGTTGTAACCAATATTTATTGTCTATTACCTACGTCCCCAGCACGGTCACGTGGGATGAAATTCACCAAAGGTATACACGAGTCAGTGAGTATGGTCGACCGTAAATTGTGTTTTCTATGGCCAACGGGTCATTAATTAATGTATATGGCCTATTTATTATAAGTCCTATGTAATAGTATTTAAAAAATTGTAAACCTATGGTCTCTTATTATATATTCTTGTAACTATTACATACATTTTATTTTTATTGCCAACAACAAATTTTCCTAACTAAAGTAGTTAATACTGAAATTTAAATTAATTGAACATTTGATAGTGCATTGTATTGCCTATCTCTAGGCCGTTAAAGCAATATTCTCCAACAGCAGGAGAAAGCTGAACGCGGGCCAACAATGACAATGGCTAATTAACCAAGCAACATTGGTGAAAAGCGAAAGGTAATTTTTGGTAAATGTGGTCTTGGTCATAAAAAATAAAACGGAAGAAGTGCTTATCGCGGACGAGGGTTGGAGAAATAAAAAACAACTTGTCGGATACGCCTTGAATTCAAATTTTATATTATTATTATTATTCCCAATAACACTAATGTATCAATAAACAGTTTGGAACATTAAAAAAAAAGTACAAAACAAAACAAAAATAAACGGAAATCCGAAAAACGAATTTCCAAACGGTGTCGACTAAAATCGGCTTACATAGTTTTAATGCAGGTATATTAGTATTATAATATTATACGCGTTTAACAATATAGTATACAATATAATATAATATTATATTTATTACATATTATAGTTCGTGGAGGTCCGCAACCGCCGCCTCACAACATCGCAGACGACGCCATAATCTACATGTAATATCGTTTAGTACAATCGTCTTAAAACTAACGGTTGGCCTAACTATACTGATAAACATATTACATTATTATGTTCTATCACAGGTAATAATGGTTACAAACCAAAAAATCTATTTTTTTTAACTTTCAACCCTTGGATGAACAAACAATAATATGGTTACTGTACAATTTCGATTTGGTGGGTATGTCTGCTGCAGTATTATAGTAGTTCCAATGAGACCTACGTCCAATGTATTTGTCCTGCAATGTCTATGTAGGTACAAATATAACCACGATTTAGAAACGTTGTTTAAGTTATAACGATTATCGGAGGCCTGACACGATCTGACATCACGCAGAGGCGGACGGAACATTATTTGTAAAAAATAATAATAATAATAATAATAATATATCAATAATAATATAATGAGCGACGCGTCACGGCGAGTTTTACAAAAATCTTATTTTACGACAATTATACACAATAATAATAATAGTAATAATAATAATAGGTAGATAATAATATGTTATAATATTATAATATAATATATATATATAATATAGTTACATTAACGTGTTTATGTATAACATAATATATAATATAATATTTAATTATAAATAATTTTGTATAAAACGATAACTGTACACTCCGCCTCGGAGGAGAAGAAACCTCTACACGATCAAATCTCCGCTAGACCTGTAATGCTGCTGCTGATCCTGTTGGTTATGCAGGTTGTTATTGTTTTGGCGGCGGTTCTGTTGCAGCTGCGATTGGTGGTGGTCGAATGCCGCCCGTTTCTCGTCTTCGAACGTGACCATTTTGTCACGGCACGTGGTCGGTTGACGTGGCGGCCGGGCGAGCGTGGCCGCGGCCGTGCGCAACGCGGACGGCGGCAGCGGCGGGGGGATCTTTTGCATCTCGATTGCCGAGCACAGGTCATGCGCGCTGGCGCTGCGTGGTATGAAGTACTCTGACACGACGCCGCCAGAATAGTGGCCCGTGGTCCGGTGGTGGCCCATCATGGGCTGCTGCACGGAACAACGGCCGGCCGACTGTCGTTGGAACGGTGGTGGTGGAGCGGGGAGCTGCATACCACCATCGTCACCTCTGCCACCACCACCGTCGTCGCGGTCGTCGAACGCGGGTGGTGGCAATAGAGGCAGTTTAGGGGGTGGTGGAAGAGGTGGTGACAACGGTGGGGCCAACGGTTTCAGGTCGATCGCCGCGGCAGTTGTGTCCGGCGGCGGCGGCCCAAAATCCCCGTGTCAGGAACCGGCGACTAAGCCGTTGTTCCGGTTGTGCGGGTGAGGCGGCTGCCGTCCCCGGTTGTGAGGGTGAGGCGCAGTGGACGAAATCGTGCCGCCACAGTCATCATCATCGCAGCCCCCGCCACCGTCCACGGCACCGGCCACCGTGCACACGACCATATTTATGTCCTTGTGCTGCAGATGTTGCTGCTGCTGCTGTTGCTGTGACCACATCCACCACCAACAGCAACACCACCGGCAGTTACGCGACATTGCAGCAAGTTCGTCCTGCAATAGCTGGAAACACATGGCCACCACGGCCATGCCAACCAATATGTAACCGGACGACACGAATACGGATACATCCTTGGTGGACTCAACGCCACCCGGCACCAGCTCGCCGAACCCGATGGTACCCAAGCTGGTGAAACAGAAGTATGAGCCCTCAAGCAGCGTCCACCGTTCAAGCTTCTGGTATATGAACGCGCCCAGTGCCACGTACGCCGCGACAACGGACAGCGACAGCAGCACGGGCACACGTTTCTGTCCACCACCGACCGGCAGGCCTACGGTTGTGACGTCTGCGTATGCGGCCGCACCTGAGACGGTTTCGAACTCGTAGGGATGACGATAATAGTCACTCCCACCCACGTGGTTGCTTGAAACCGTGTTGGGCGGCGCCCGCTTGCCACCACCCGGCCTGACCCGTCCACCACCGCTGCCTCCCTCGTCTCTGTCTTCGTGGTGTCCAGGCGAACATAGTCTCGAGTAAATGCGCCGAAAGTTCTTGGCCAGCGTCTCACCCATCGTGGACAGGTACAGCAACATGAGAGGTATCCCTATCAGTGCGTATACGATCGTGATCACTCGGCCCCATGGTGTCTGTGGCGTCACGCTACCGTAACCTGAAAAACAAACAGTTGTTTGACGATCAGAAAGTAGGTACCTCTATATACATAAACGGAGTGAGTATTTTTCATTCATGATTATTATTATATAATATGAGGTGTATTATTATAAGGATATTTTATRTGATATGTGTGGAAAAAATGCAGATTACTGATGTTATTGTTATTATAATAATTCCAACAACAAATTTCATGGTTATATTATAGCCTATAGATGGGGTCACCAACTTTTTACAGCTAGTGAGCTACATTAAAATTTTAAATATCTGCAATAATCGACCACAATTAATTTAGGTAGGTATATTATTTATATTATATAAAATACAGTATAATAATAAATTATACATCTAATATATATTCTTCTTTTATTATTTCTTCATCGGAAAAATTCTTCACTAATACATACTTTAAATTGTATTTATAATGTGTAAGATTGTAGTTAAGATTTTAACATAATCAAAAGTTGTTGGAATCGTTAATCTATACKATCGACTAATATTCATGTAAAAATCGACTGGTTGGAAATCTATGGCTTATAAGACAGACATAATATTATAATATAATATTATGGTTATGTTATTATACCTTTGTTAAATATAATAAATAACTAAAACACTACACTAACTAACTGTCGATTWAAATTTTACTATAATAACTACTACCAGTAGTGCCAAATCATATGGTTAATAGTGTGGCTAGTAATAAGTATGGACAAAGTAAAGACAAATAATGGAAAAATTATATGAATTCGCGAAGGATGTCCACATATTGTGCTTTGTTGATTTCAGGCAGGCATATTGCAACATAAATCGAGATAAGGTGTGAGCGGCCTTGGAGGAATTTGAAATCCGTAAAAACTTATTCATCTGGTAAGAGAATGCAACACGCATACCTAATGCAAGACGAAGTTTAGCTACGATATTTCGGAGAGTTTTGAAGTTAAAACTGGCATTAAACAGGGTGATGCGYTGTCGCCAGTCCTTTTTAACTTAGTGCTTGAGAAGGAGGTCAGGGCAATTTCAATGTGTCAAGGCATGGATATTTTACTCAACAGTACGCTCCTTGCCWATGGAGACGATATAGTTATTATAGGAAATACGTGACAAGAACAAATGACTTCATTAATGCAGCGAAGCCAATGAACCTGGAAGTCAACCCGGGTAAAACAAAATATTTAGTCATGATTAGGGGAACAAGAGATAACTCAGATCTGGTAGTTAAAAACTATACAAGTGAATGATTTCAAATATATTGGGGTGAGCATAAATCAAAACAACAATATGCATAATGGAATTAAAATAAAGATTTCTGCCGCTAACAAGGGTTACTTTGCTTTTGAATGGTTATTTAAGTCAAAACTTCTCTCAAGACGATGAAAGGAACGCCTGTACTTAAGTTTCTTATGCCCAATTTTAATATACGCATGTGAAACATAATCGACTAGTAAAAGTGATGAGGAAAAGGCCCGTTCTGAAAGGGAAGTGCTTAAAAGGATATGTGGATCTATTTTAGAAAACAAAGTATACAGGAAAAGAACTAATAGAGAAGTGCAACAGATTTACCAAAAACYCGGTATTAATGCTTACCTCATGAGTAAACGAATCGAGTGGGCAGGCCATGTATGGAGATGAAATGGAATTTTAAATAAAGCTCTGAAAGGAAAGATAAATAAATGGGAAAATACCTAGGGGTCACCCTAGGCAGAACTGGATAGACAGGGTCAACGATAATCTCAACAAGTGCACCACCCAGGGTGTGAAAATAGCAGACAGTGTGGATAGAGATAGATGGAGGAGTGTAGTAGAGGCAGCGAAAGTCCTTCACGGCCCGTGAAAACTCAAGAAGAAGAAGAARAAACAAATTGTATCATAATGCCATAAGTAATTATTTTATGTAGATTGATATAAATAAAACGATTATGACTGTATTACAGTAATAATATTTAGAGATTAGAGACTACTAATTATATCGTGGCCCAGTACTGTAGCTCCCGCAGAAGCATGAAAGATCTGGTTATGTATGACGGAAACTCCTCAATAACTAAAACCAATCACGGTCTTAACATGCTCACTGGGGTTTGGTCGTATTAATTTGTCTGTAAACACCTAAATTAGTAGTACTATTTTTCAACGAAAAATAACAAAACTAACGACTTAAATTGATAGTTTTATGATTAATTAAAATCCCTTATTTTAAATTGTTATTTCGTTGAGTGTAAATTATCATTTAGTGTATATATTATAAGAGATTTTGTGTAATCTGTACTACCAATGCATAGTTAATAGTTATACACCAAAGTTTCTATACCTACACACTTTACCTTGTGATTACCTCAAGTTTTAATTGCTTGCATAACATAATAATATCACACTTTAGGCGAAATGATATAGTATATAATATTATTGTATATATCTATTGTATAACTAACTACATCTTCTAACTACATCAGTTGAGTGTACAGTATAATATTATAAAAAAATCTRCACAATTCAGACTATATAAGCAACAATCAGGATTTTTTTCTATCATGTGAGGTGAAATGTAAATCTACAATTTATTTTTCAGTGATSTTCTTACAAATACAACGGCCGTCGTCCGTCAGATATAATATAAAGTACTTTGACTCTTGATCAACCCAACTGACTCAACTGTTGTAGTATCATTGTGATTTATAATAATAAATCGAYTGGCAAAATATTGTTAAGTGTACAAGTGTATAAAAATTTGTATCATAAAATCATATTCACATATTTTCACCAAACACTTGATCAGAAATATATTAAGTGTCACTCGTAGTTTTATGGAAGTACTTTCTCTACATTTTATAAAATAAAACCGTATATTAGAGTAAGTGATGGTTTATCGTTTGTTGAAAAAATTATTTCAACGTTAACATTTTCAGAGATACTAACGTTTTAATTTACTGMCATATTAAAAATGTATATGACTTAAAAATAATAATAGTTATTTCTGTTGAAGTTGAGTATACTTTCAACTTTTTTCCTTGAAAACCACAACAATTGACGATTGAAATATTTTTTAAATTATATAGATTCTCATAATCACTGTGGAATTATTGAAACTAGTTAATTCACGTGGCTCATAATATTTAGACTGTATTAAATTTTGACAATTTAACTCCAGGAAATGAAAATGTCAATAATTGAATCCTGGGTAAAGCATTTTTATTTTTTTTTTAGAAAACGTGARCTGTATCGACAGTAGCGCGTTTTTAATCAATATTGTTCAATATTTTTTTAAATTCATTACATATTTAGTTCATCGCCGAAGTAATTTAAGTACCAGGACCGCAGTATCTATATAATTATGTTAAGGGAACGCACACGTGCACAACAACATTTATAATAATATTATATAGGTACCTACTATGAAATACCTACTGTAATGGGTAATGGTATCCTGACCACCGTCATATTATAATTTCGATATCGGTTTTTGTTAGTTGTTATGATCGAGTATTTATGTTATAATGTCAATATAATATGTGACGAGACTTATATATATATATATATATATATATCTACGTGCATTATTATTATTATTATTATTATTTACATTGGACGACATGCATCAATATCGCACTGTTCTGTGCGAACATACCATACTATAATACATAGCGCGTTTTCGAAGTACGGTTGTATAGTATCTATACTAAAAACACGGTCGTATCATAATYATTACATTTCAACAAACCAATAATATAATATTGTTACCTACGCTACAACGATATAATATACGACAGTAATTAATAATTATACACTCTGACCTAGTTTAAAGGATGTAGAGTCGCGGGTCCTGTTCACAGACACCAGAGTATACTATGTACCCATATTAGATAACTACGTTCAAAGTTCCAGTGATTATGAGTTGGACGTATTAATTATTATTGACTTTGTACAGCTGCGTGTGCGTAGGTGATAGCTATGTGAATAAATTGTTATAGGTAATTTCCAAAAAGAAATTATTTGTCAATGATTTTTGCCAAAATTGTAGAATATTTCATTATACTATAATATTGTGATCATTGAAAATTTTACGTAATATTTTAAAAATTATGAAATATATTTAAATACCTCATAATATTAATAMTAATRATGATAATAGAGTTTTACCGTTTTAATGTTTAGATAATATAACGATGATATAACGTAAGGATTTATTTGAARTATAAAAAAATGCGTTATATCATTAAACAAAACATTTTATTTATGTAGGAAATTAACTAAAACTAATTAGAAATTGAAAAAAATGGTTGGAAATTAATCCTAAACATAAACACGCAMCAAATTATCTGTTACTATAGTCACTTTGGCAGGACATTTTAAAATTATTGAAACAAAATTATTAAGAATGGAAATCGCARGTCGAATAATTTGAGAGAGCTAATCCTTGCAGATGCTACTAACAACGGCACTTGCTTCATGATATTAAGCCGGAGAATATCCATATACTCAGTAATGAACAAATCGCGGTGTCATGCGAAGAAGGTAAATGTAGCATTTACATAAWCGTGTCATTTAACAGCTCATGGGTCCCATACTTGTGCTTTTAGGGTAAGTTCTATCTGGTTAAATATAGCACCCTTAGACATCAGGATGAGTGTGATGGCTATAGCGATAAACAAAAACAATGGGTACAGGTAAATGACTACCAATGAGACCCATAGCTTACTTACGCAAACCGAAATCAATGAAAAACTTTTTGAAATCAACAAAATGTTTAAAAATATCCTCATTRAGTATAATAATATATGAACGACGTCAATGTGAATATCGTTAAATCAAACCAATAATTTTGCAATAAGACTAATGGATAACAGCTATAGAATTATATACCACCAATATAGGACATAATATAGTAACCAACGAATAACGATGGACATCATCGAATAGTTTGAAAGTAGATAGGTGTATTTCCTGTACGCAAGAACCACAAACGGCGATTGCAGAAGCGCACAAACCGAACAAAAAATATAA